ATATATATATATATATATATATATAATTTTGACAAAAAATTATAATAAAAAAAAATAATACGTTCAGTATGTAACTTGAGATTATGCCATTTATTAAAGACTGAAAGGAAGACTTCTTCCTCTCACATTCAAAGGAACAAATCTGAATGTTCGAAGAGCTGATTAATAGCTTTCTTTATATAAGCGAGACATAGCATCAAGTACATCAGAGAATACTAATCATAGCTACGCAAATTCATGTAGCGTATGCGACAATAAAACACACACGTGCAAGACAACATGTGATACACTGTACCCCATCAGTTCACACGCATTTAATGTTATAAGACTTTGATGAAATCAGCTGGGCAGAGTTGACAAACTAAATAGGGTTTTAACTGAACTGAATTGAATTGTGCACAAAAGTCTCTGTTACAATTCATAAAAAGTTCGAAGATTCGGAGACAATTTGACCAAAATAAGCATTTAAAACTAGTTAGAAACCAATGCTTCGGACTTTAGACTTCACAGCCCACAACTTATCATGTAATGGTATGAGTTGTCTCTCACATTTTAAATATCAAACATTAATCAATTCTTAATCATAATACGGTTTTAAAACTATTGTTTCTTTTTTAAATAAATAATCATTTTAGCTAAATTTTGATCAAAATAGGAGAATCCAATTCTTCTTTTATATTTACATATCCAACACTAAAAATTTGATATTTATGCTTATAACAACTTTGTGCTGTAAATTTATGCTATAAAAGATAGTAATAGCCGTATTTTTAATGTGATGTTAAAGACTTGAGAGGTATACATGAGAATTGTGACAAACATTTGTATGTATGTAAATGGCCCTTTTTTTTTATGTAAATATCATTTTGTCCAAAAAAAGTGGATAAATTCATATATGATGATTTTTAGCTGAAAATTGATAATATGTAAAATGGTTTGCACGTAGATTTTTTCAACGGATGTTTGTGAGGGGTGGAGACTTAATACCACATTATCAACAACACTGAGGTTGATTTATTAAACATAATTAATGAAATGATGTCAGTTTTGAAACTATTCATTAATTTTCAAAAAGGCTGGAAAGAGAATTTTAAGGGAACTTGCGATGGGGAATTACTGAATTGCGCAGGTGGCGGGGTACAGCGACAGCGCGAGGAATTAGGCCCTTTCATTTATTATTATTATTATTATTAACTTAATTAGGGCTGTCAAATAAAATTTTTGTTTGTTAACAGCTTCTTTGATTAATTAAATAGCTCTTGTTAGAATCGTTTGATTAAATAAATGAGTCGAACACGAATAACTATTTTTTTCGATCATGTTCGGCTCGTTTTAACTTGAAGTAAAGAACAAAAATATGTGACTTGAGCCAAACACGAAGACACTATTCATGAGCAATTTTGATCACGTGCCAATTTTGAACAAGAGTTTATTTTCAATGATAAAAATATGAGCCAAGTCAAAGCTCACTCAAGCTCGGTTCATATATAATCCTAGTCTCAACTAACAAATGTAGCAAGAGTTTGACCGGAAAGACGAAACACTTGACAACCTATTCTTCTTTATTTTAAAATAAAAAGTAATATATATATA